CTAACCTTATTGTTTAAAAAATTTTATATGTAACCCCGTGTAATTTTTTATGTAGTCCCGGTTAATTTGGGGCTGGATGTCTCAAGATTCAGGTTGAATTTTTTTCATCTAACAACAATGGTGGAAAAGTGTTGATCGTAGTGAGATGAAAAATGATAATCTTTTATTGTCAAACGACAATTGTGCCCTTATTAAATTTTTATCAATTGGGTTTATAATGTAGCCCAACACTTGCCTTTTAAATTTTTAATGGGCTGACTTGACAAGTACCAAATGAGCTGGATAATTAAGTTTGACACACACTCTCCTGCGGGCTATTTAATTGAGCTCGTCTCATTGCACAGTCCGTTATCCATTTTTTTTTTTGTTGATTTTGCCTCCACTAATTAATTCGGCCTCATTTTTTAGACAAAGAAAAACTCTTACAGAGTTGATTGCAAACATGTTCGACTCTATTTGTTTGATCGACAAGTTCGATTAACTATTTGAGTTTGGTTTGTTTAAAAATAAAGTACAAATATCTTTTAAAATGTATAACTATCTACGTTAGATCTGCCTAATACCACCTTGATGTTCCCAATTTAACTAGTACGAATCCCGTGCGATGCACGAGTAAGAAATACTTATTAATATTTATAAATTAAAATTTCTCATTAAATAACATATAAGTATATTTGATAATATTTTTTCATATTCGCATTTACTTATGGTGAATATTGGAATGATATATTGCCATGTAAAATAAAGATCAAATTTTCTATATTTTGGTTGTATTGATGCATTTCCATATCAAATTATTTTTGATATTATTGTACATTTTCAGTTAAGACTGTATTGATGCGTTATTTGAATTGAAATTATTCTTACTCAAAATTAAATATTATATTTTCATAAATTGAATGCCATAAAGAATATGTTATGGATGTTTCAAAATAAAATATTTTCTCCAAAATTGCAAATTTTGTTATATTTATTGGATGAAAAACACGAATAGGATGTTACAAAAAATACAGATTATCATGGTATATTCACGCGTTTTTACCAAATAAATCTTATCGTAATTATTCACCAAAAATCTAATCTCATTTTGAAAATCGAGTTTTCTATTAATAGATAAATATATTATTTTGAAAGTATAATGAGAATCGTATTTTGCCAAAATTGTGTGGGAAATGAGATCGTTCAACAAACCATTGGAAAAGACGCACCGATAATTTTACCAAGAAAATTAATTTAAAATTTATTCACCAAATGATTGAAAAAGTGGTTAATTAAGAAAAAAGAAAAAATGATAAGGTAACATTTTTTTCCTAATCTCATGTGTTTTTAAAAATATTTCTTATAATAGTAAGTCAAACATTTAATTAAATAATCAAAGTCACTTTATGTATTTTTTCAACAACCTTTTTATATTTGATTATTCCAATCTATTTAATTTATTTCTTTTTCATGGATTACTTACTTACAAGTCAATACAATAAAGCAAATATAATACCCTACTACACCATAGTTGTAATAGCCATATATATAAAAAAAAATTAAGACAACATATTATATTAATACAAATCCACATATATAGTTCATCTACTTCTTGTCTAAACTACCTTAGACTAGATATCACTTGAACTCCGGACTGAGTAATCAATAATTCCATCACTATTTTATAGGAAAAAATTCGAAAAACCGACTCGGTGTCGATTTAGTCCCCATGCTACAAACACAATCGTGATCACAATCGTTCTCCCCGGTCTTAATGGTGTTCAAACAATTGCCCTTCCTGACAGGAAAAAGCTCGAGAGTTTCTTGATTTTCCTTCATTATTTCGCCCGATTCTTCACCGACACTTGATTTTTCGTTTTCTTGGCCAGGAGCTTTGATGCAAGGTGATAATAATAATAAGTCCAATTCGCGTTGTGTAATTTGGGGACCCTTCTTAGCATGTGTCCATTTGTCCTGTCTCCATTCTTCTCCTTGTATTGATTCAGAGCACTACTAAAACGAAAATAAACAAATTAATAAAAACAAATAAAATAAAAATTACAGTACATNGAGGGGGGTAAATTTTGTATACACTGCCCAAGAAAAATTCTACCAATATACAAAAGCCCAAAACAGAAAGTATTAAGGGGAGCAGCTTTTATTTTTTTTATTTTATTTTTTCTAATTATGGGGGCTCATTCTTTTCCCATCATGCAAAAGCTCTGTTTCATACTCATATTTTTGCAATCAATTCTTTTGACCTTTGTGCTGTATAATTGGTCCATGATTTTGTCTCTGATTAATGGCAAGCCAGGTGTTGGGCTGTGTGCTATGGCTAATCAAGAAAGGGTAGGATGACATTTTTTCTTTATTAAGTAAAAATGAATAATATAAGTAATAAATAATTAAAAAAAATCTTTTATAATTTTAAATATCCAATACCAAGGAGGGGTTGTAAAAAAAGCTACATAATTTTTTTGTCCTTTGTAAATTTTTGGAAAACTTTTTGTGGGTATTAAATTTACTTACCTCTGAAGCTGTGCTGTAGCTTTGGGGTGCAGTCAACCTCTTAGGATTTTTAGTTTCCAGATAGCTCCTATTTCCTGCAAATCAATTTTTTTAAAATGTAACTTTGAAATAAAATGAGATATTCAATTAAAAGACACTTCATTATGCTTCAGGATTTTGCATATTTTGGCTTCTCGTTGGAAATTAGATACAGCTCTTTGCTGAAAAGCTTAATTTTTATATTCTTCTTTGACAGAAATAATCTGTAATCCTTAAAAAATTGTACAATATTTAATAGACATATACATCTTTATGCTTCAATATTATATCTTCAAAAATAATAATATAAAAATATATGAAATTTTACAACATACATTTGTATTTTTATTTTTTCAAAAAAATATGTCACATTATGTCACATTAATCGATCTTAAGATTCTTAACGACCGAGTATATTGATTAAATTTTGGAGCTCTAACTTTCCTTAATTTATTATGTGTTAGAAATTAAAAACATTAATGTCATCACGTTAACTGCATGAAATTAACCAAATCAGAAAATAATTATCAGATCAAATTAAAAAAAAAGTTTACCCGATTGTTTCGATTCGCGCATTTTTTCCTCGGCCGCCAGCCGGCGCCTTTTCTGCCTTTCTCTAGCCTTATGATTTTGAAACCAATAGAATACATTCTTTCCCTCGACTTTTCCGAATTTCCTAAGCTTTGCGGTGATTTGTTGTATTTGTTGAGCTGATGGTGTTTTAATCCCATGTCGATAAATTCCTTCGAGAGCTTGCACTTGCTCGGGAGTCGGGTTCCATCTTGAGCTCACCAATGGCTGCATTTTGCTTGTAATTATCTCCCTTTTACCTCCATAATCACCTGAAAACAAAAATAAAAAATATTCACCCCATTATAAATTGCCATAAAATAAAAAAAAAATAAAAAAAATCAAAATCGATAACGAATAATATGACATTACTGCCACGATCCGCTGAGATTCACCCATTTGTATTCGTGAAAATAGAAATAATAATAATAATGACATGATAATATAGCTTACCTAGATTTAGTGTTTTGTTCCATATTGAAGGGATGTTAAGGTTGTGAGGGTTATGATGATGACAACGAGTTGGTGTTGCGAAGAATGTATTGCTCGGAAATGGCTTCGGGCCGTGTAAGGTACGAGTCGAAAAATTCGAGTCTTGGCCATTATTATTATGGTTATTACATTCTAATATCCACATACTTTGGCTTGTTTGTGTGCTAGCTAGAGAATCTAGGAGATTTTAAGGAAAGATTATTGAAGGGGGAATTTGATGAAATGAAA